GGGTCTCTTGCTCGGTATATTGAACACCCTAAACCGCAAACCTTTAAACCCCAAAAACATAGGCAATTGGGCTTCGGGCGTATGGGTTTGCCGAATCTTGTGCGAGGAAGCTTTGGAGCGAGTTTAAGGTTTGGGATTTGCGGCTTGGGGTTCAGAGTTGGTTTAGAACTCACCTGAAGAACCACATGGCCAGGGGCCCTATACCACTATACTGTGAGTCCCCATATGGCACATGAACCTTCAATGCTTTTTGGGTTCATTTCGTCCGCAAGGTACCTGAACCCCGGCTGAGCTACCTTTTTCAACACTGGTATATGGAAACCAGTTTAAGGAACCTGAAAACGGCAGGTTTTTTCGTGCCGCTGGATGGGTTCAGGTCAGGTTGGACTTGTCGAAGGAAGGCACGGAGTCCCTGGAGTGTGGAGCAACGACTGCGGGGTGGCTTTTGGGGCTGCGTTTAGGGATTTACGGTTTTTCGGGTTGAAGGAGCAGGTGTTCAGTGGTTTTGAGGTTCGGGTTTGGGATGCGACATACCCCGAAACCCTATACTGACAATGAAGCTTTGGGGTATATCACCCCCCAACTCTGAAACTCTAATGAATCCTCGCAAATCCCTTGAAAGTCCCAATACGTTCCATGTCCATGGCTATAGAGCCCTTATCAATCCCTACAGGCCCCAAACATGTAATTTTTAGCCTTTATACGATTGCGTGCATGAGCCGGGTGCCTTGCAACGGCTTGTAGTCAGAAGAAAGCTGATCCTCGGATATTCGGGGTCTGTTTACTTGGAGGGGCAGGGGACTTAGTAAGTAGGTTATAAGTAGGGTTATAACTGGGGTAACTTCACTTAGGTATCTTATAACCATACTTATAACCTACTTACTAAGTCCCCTGCCCCTCCAAGCAAGGTTTGGGGTTTAAGGCTCAAGTGATACGGGCTCCGGGTTTAAAGCTTAAGGTTTACGGTTCTTGCTGAAGCACTTAGTGTAAATTACACACTTCAAGGCTCCTCGAGCGGCTCCTTTAAATGATCTACAAGCGTTCCACAAGGGTCTAGTGCTAAAAGATATCTTGGAGAGGTGCTTGCTTGGCGTTCTGAAGTTCACGGGAGAGCCCTCAACCCCTTACAGTAGAAGCCAGAAAGTTGGAATATCATTATCGTAACCCCTTTAAGGTACATTATAGGGGATCCTACCATTAATCCATATTCCAACTTTCTGGAGTTCCCTTTAAAGTTAAACCCTTGAGCCCTTTAAGCCTGAAAGCCTTAAAACCTCAAGCCCTTAAACTGGGTTCTTGTTAAGGAACTTAATTTAAGTTACCATAATAAGGAAACCCTATTATTTACGATAGATCCCTATTGTGGTAACTTAAATTAAGTTCCTTAACAAGAACCCAGTAAACCCTGCATTTTGGGACCCGGGGTCTATGAGGATTTGCCGTTCAGAACGCAAGCCGGAAGGTTTTAGGAGTTTAGGGTTTAGGGTTTAGGGTTTAGGGTTTAGGGTTGGTTTTAGGAGTTTTGATGTTCAGGGTTATTTCTTTCTTTGGAGGATAGATGATAGGAGAGCCCGACCTAAACAGTACGAAACCTTGCGCCCACCGGACAATGCCTTCCGAACAACCCAAGACTTTTCCTTTTAGAATGCCCAATCGGACCCCGCCGCCAAAAGCCCAAAACCACAACCTAGCCAGAACGCCCATTGCTCCTCAATCAAGGGTTGATGCTTTGAAATGAGAAAAGACCCAGAAAATGATGCAAAGTATAGGGACAAGTCAGGCTTTGGGTTTCGCGCCGAGTCAAGAGGTGTCGGGCTCTTTGCGAAATCTAAAACCCCTCCAACTCCATTGGACCAAGCCCTTCCACTGGCGTGTAGCGGCCCAAGGCAAGGATCCAGGCTTGCAGCACGATTTTCGAGAGCGGATCTTTCAATAGTGCATTGATGTGGGACCTCCGGCTCCTCGAAGTCCGAGATGTCGGACATGGAGGCAATTTCGCGTGCTGGGGACCTCCAGCACGAGGCACGACGCGAACAACCAGATTGTGACAGAGCAGGTGACAGCACAGATGCAGGGCCTGCACATGATGAGCTCCAAAAGCTGACGACCGCGTGGACGAGCGGGCACAAGTTCGTGGGTAGAGCGATGTGTGCACAAATCTGTCAAGGAACTGCTGCTGGGCACACATCTCTTGCCCTTCAACGGCTTCCCAGATGGTTCTCCTTCATGAAACACCACTGGATGCTCAAATATCGTTCCCCATGGTTCTTCTTTTGACATGCCAATGGATCAGGGTCTCCTGCTCTTCGAGCTTAGGGAATTCCTGAACCCTTACACGTTGAACCCTAAACCCTGAACTTTTGTAATGAGCCCTAAACCCAAAGCAAAAAATCCTGAACCCTAAACCAAATAGTTAGAAATTGCGTGTCTTCGTTCACCTTGCACCCCCTATATACACCGTCATTCTCAGTCCCATCCCCAGCCCCAGCCCAGCCCCAAATTCAAAATCAGATTCCAAAAAAAACTCTGTCAAAAACAGTTTGTGAAAAGGCTCTTGGCACCCAAACACTTAACAATTTTTACAAACCCCTTAGGTTGAGCCCCAAATCCTCAACCCTGTACCGCAAATCCCGAGGACCCGCTGAAGCATTCAGCCGTTGAGTGGCAGCTGGCACAGGTAGCGCCTGTTGGCATTTTTTCAAGTCGTCAGCTTACGGTACCTAGTCTTGGATTGCATTGAATAGTCAGGAGCACATAAACACTGTGGAATAGTATCGCGAACTCTTCAGACCCCTGTTTTACGGAGGGGGTGGACGTTTCGCTTGTTGTAACCTGGGGTCGAGAGACCTTTAAGCTTGAGGGATTACGACTGACCCTCCCAGAGACTCCAATATCCCTTAATTCAGGAATATACCTTAAATTCTACCAGGATCCCTGATATGATTAAGGAACATTCTACAATTAGGTCTGCGCTTGGGGCAGTCTTGGTGTCGCAGAGTCTTGATACGACTGTGCGTCTAGCTGTGAACAAGTTGCAGAGCATAGCCGCTCACCCCAAACCCTAAACCCCAAACGCCGCCACAAGGCACAACCCCAAACCCTAAACTCCTAAGGAGGAAAATGTCGGCTTTACTTGAAGATCTTTGTGAGAAAACGCCCTAAAACCCACACCCGAACCCTGAACCCTAAACCCCCATCTCTAAACCCCTACACCTTAAACTCCTGCACCGTCTACACCCCAAACCCTGAAGCTTCAACCTCAAACCCTGTGCCCCAACCTTTCTTCTCTTATTTCCCCCTCTAGGACCCCGAAAAAAAACATAAGGCAAAATTAGGATAGGGATATCCCATATAAACCTCCTTATCTTGAAGCTCAACAGGGTAGGGATATCCCTATAAAATGCTTCCGCTTGTGTGCCTTTTGGGTCCCTAACCCTCGGGCCTGTCCCACCACAAGGCCCCTACTCCGGCGCGGCACGCGCGGGACGGAGGCCATGGCTGTCGGTTTTGCAAGCGGGGTCATCAGGTTAGGGTTTAGGGATCGGGGTTCAGGGTTCAGGAAAGGGGTATGGGGGTTTTGAGGCTTGGTAATTTAGGGTTTTATGGATTTAAGCCTCGTCGGGTCTTGGGTTTAGGGGTTATGAACGGTTTAGGGTTTCGGCTTTGGTTTGTTGCTCTAGGGTTTCCCAGCTAGCGCCGGGTGTTTGAAAAGGTCTTGCATGGGCCGCAGAACACGGAAAGGACCCAAATATGGACCCCAAATAATAGGATCTGCCATAGAAGGATCTCCATTGAAGGGCCGTAGTCGTAAGGCCTTTTTTGGCCCGCTACCCACATTTCTCTTAGGGTTTAGGCTTTTGGGTTTGGGGGTTTAGGATTTACGGTTTGAACCCCAAACCCTAAACCCTGCGTTTGGGTTTCGATGTACCGTGGCCCTCATGTCCTACTTGAATCATGTCATCCCTCCCTCTGAGCCAAAGCTCGATCCAGGCAAGGGAGACCCTTTCATAGCTTCGGTGTTCTTGAGGTTGCGGTGGACAGGGTTTCAGTTTTGTTAAGTGTTGAGGTTTTAGCTTGGGTGTTTGGGGTTTAGGAGTTCTTCTCATTCGTTTCATTTCGTGTTGGTAGAATTATCCCTTCTTTGCGGCTATTCTGTCTTCCGGCCAACGGTATTGCCGTTGTTGGTGTCGTGATGTCGTCGCAGTCATGATGATGATGACGATGATGATGATGATAGCGCTCATGACGATGGCAGACGGTGATTTCTCTGTTGCTAGCGATATCGCCATATCTATGCTTCTCTCGTGTGTACCTGGGTTATTACAGGTAGGATTGTAAGTAGCCACAGGTCTAAGTCCTTCAAGCCCAATGCTGAACTATGGAATCCTTCAACCTCAACCCTGAACCCTAAACCCCTACACCCCTAAACCCTAAACCTCAAATTAACAACTTCAGAAGCAGTGCAACTGCAGCTACTTCCACCACAGTCCTAGCTTTCGGGACTTTAGGGGTACTAGCGTTTAGGATATTCCTATTCGACCAACAAGTACGTACTGTAATTGCTGTACGCAAGGTTACAACCATAAGACGAGCCTGATGGTGACAAGACTGCTACGTACTCGCGTCAGAAGTGGTGGTCAACGGTAGTGGGGTTGAACCGGTAATGTTTGTTGCCATACACCATACTCCTCAAAACCAACAGCAACGACCATGCAAATGGTAGGCACTGCTTGAGATGACAAGACTATTCTGAGACTAACGGGCCATCCACGTGAAGGCCAGGCCCTAAACTGCCGCAAAACTCCAAATGTTAAATACCGACAGATCACTTCTGGAACCCTTATAGAGCCCCCTTAAACCCTAAACTCCAAACCCCTTAAAACCTTAAACACCCTGATGCCCTGCAATTCTGAAACCCCAAAACCCTAAAACCCTGAAACCTTGCAACCCTGAAATCGTAAAGCCCCATCGCCTATATCACCCTCCTTTAAGGCCCTGGCGCATGCTCGACGGTGCATTTTGCAAGGCAAGGCCATCCTGCCACGCTTAAAGATTGGCTGGCCAGGTTTTTGGGGCTTCGGGATTAGGGTTTAGGGTTCTAGGGGTTTCAGGGTCTTGAGGCTTTACCTGTGGCCCAGAAAACCTACCATTTAAGGAATTACACGTAGAACTCGGAGTAGGGAACCCTGAAAAGGTGGGTTCATTTGGTTTCCTAAAGCCCAAAGCCTAAAGCCCTGAACCCTTCAACCCCAAGCGTCGGAAATCACGTTGACTGAATCCTACAGCCCTAAACCGCAAGCCCACGTCCTCAACCCTAAGCCCAAACTAAGCCCTAAACCGTGAGCCCTAAGCCCTAAACCCCTAAACCCTAAACCCCTGAACCCTAATCCCTAAAACCCTTAGCCCTACAGGGAAGATCACGAGCTCAGAGCTCACAGCTCAAATCGCTAAGGTTGATACGGTATAACATCGTATAGTGAAGCATCATATAATCAAGTACAATACAATACAACATAGCATGTAATCTCGTGCTATCTAGTATCATATGGTATGATGCAGTACCATGTAGTTGTCATCTAGTATCATGTAGTGTCATAATGTATCATGCAATATCAGAAAATGCGATATGGGAGGTTTCGGATTGGGGTGATGAGGGCAGGATTCCGGGGCAGACGTTTCAGAAGCTGTGCGATCCCATGTGACAAGAACCTAGAGACTCCAATATCCGTTGAGATTTAGGAAGAAACCTAAAACCATTTTGAGATCCCTGATATGATCTAACGGAAAAACCCTCAATCCCCTTATAGAACCCTTAAAGATCACTTCATAAGGATCCTTAAGGAACCCTTAGGTATGTTCCTTCATTAAAGGATATTGGAGTCTCTGGGACATCGATCGTCCTCCCTTCTGGACTCAAAAACGCACACTGCTCCCCTCCAGCCTCAAAAGCAAAGCAAAAGAAATCCGAGAGGGATCCTTTAAAGGGGTCTATAACGGCTATATGGGCTGCCGAGAAGATTTAGTGCAGGGCCTTAATAATTAGAATAGGGTTCGGGGGGGTGGAGCCCAAAGACACCGACGCTTTGGGACTGCAGCAATAGGTTTGAAGCGCAGTTTTATTCGTGGCCTCGGGCTCACAGTATCGCTGCAGTTTTTGGGTCTAGGGTTCAACTGTTAGGGTTTGGGGTTCAGCGTTTGGGGGTTTTACTGAGGTCTCCGGTTCTAAGCCTCTCTTCTTCAACAACCGGGCCCCAAAAAGTTCAAACTTTCTAAGATAGAGTTAATATGCAAGGCCAAAAAGCTTAAAGTTCCCCTGTTCAACATCTAAGAAGCTGAGTTTTATTCGAGCTTAAAGTGTTAACCTTCTCAGCCCCGACTGAGCCTTTTGCACGAGCTGGTACTGCTCCCGCCACTCGTCGGTCCGATGCAATGCCTTGCTTCAAGACAAAAACTCCCTAGAACGCAAAACCCTACTATAGAGGCCTTAATAATTAGAATTTGGGTTCCGGGGCCCATTATACTATAATTATAACAAGGAACCCCCAGAATAGTATAGGTAATCATCTAGGCCCCTAGAGCACCTGGGGATCCAACAGCCCCGTTGCCTTAAGAGCTATACCTTAGGTACGGCCCCCATACAGTAAGAGTCTATAATAGGGCCATTATTAAGGTCCTACTATATCTAGATTATGAATACTATTCAACTATTACTGAGTGGGGGCCCTACCCAAGTTATACCCTGCAATCCAGGGTCTGGGGCAACAGGTAAACCCTGAATGACAGAGCTCTGCTACGACACCCTCAAGCCCGACCTAAACCCTAAGCCCCGAACCCTAGACCCTAAACCCTCAACCCTAAACCCTAAACCCTAGACCCTAAACCCTCAACCCTAAACCCTAAACCCTAGACCCTAAACCCTCAACCCTAAACCCTAAACCCTACCCTAGACCCTAAACCCTCAACCCTAAACCCTAAACCCTAAACCCTATACCTTCAACCCTAAACCTTGAACCCTAAACCCTATACCTTCAACCCTAAACCTTGAACCCTAAACCCTCAACCCTAAACCCTAAACCCTATACCTTCAACCCTAAACCTTAAGCCCTAAACCCTCAACCCTAAACCTTAAACCCTAAACCCGAAACCTTGAACCAGACCTCCCCAAGTGCCCGAAAATCCCTCCCAGGAGCTCCCCAGCCCTACTGCTGATGATATAAATCCTAGGGTTCCTTTTAGGATATATGAGGGTACCTTTAAGGGGTTCCTTTAAGGGATCTATAATGGGGTTTAGGGTTTAGAGTTTACGGTGGATGATATAAATCCTGCACTACCCATAATAAGGAATATCCCATAATTCCCACAGTTTAGGGTCTTTAAGGTAATGCAGGATTTCTATCATCAACCGTAGGACCTCGCGCCCCCAACCCCGACCCTGAAGCCGTCACGCAGAGACTCCAACATCCCTTTAATGGAGGAATATACCCCTAAGGGTTCCTTAAAGGGCTCCTGAAAGGGATCTATAAGGGTTCTATAAGGGAATTAATTAAGGACTATACCTTAAAGTATAGTAGGATCACTAATATGAGTTAAGGAATATTCCCAAATTAAGGGGTGTTGGAGTCTCTGGGCATAGAACCCCATCTTAGTTTCAGGATTTAGAAAGGGATATCATAACCCGCACTGTTGGGGAGTAAAGATAAGCCCTAAACCCTACAGCCCGAATACCTTTGTCAAGCCATGCAGTCATCTTATGAAGCTCATACAGAACCTTCGTAAGACCCAACACTCAAGCTGTCTGGCCCACAGAGCACGTACAAATCACAAAGCCCAATAAACCTCACAGTACCACTTTAAGCCCTTATAGTTTCAAAGGTCCCCCAAAACCAATGATAACCATATAAAGCCTGTTACAATCCTTGAAACCCCAGAACCCCGCAATAACCATGTATACCCTTGTGAAAACCCGGTTTAAAAAGCCCCAAACCGCCAGGATCTCTCCCCAGAAACCCTAAACCCCTAAACCCTAAACCCTGAACCCCTAAACCCCTAAACCCTAACCCCCCCCTGATGGAGGCCTCCACCGCAGTCTGCCCTTCGATTGCACGCCAACCTCTCGGCTCCTTTTCTATACTTGTAGGATCATGGGACTTGGTAATTGGGGTTATCAGTCCTACCTGTTTAGGGTTCCCTAATATGATTTCTTTCTATGAGTCCTTGAAAGGTAGGTTGCTTGGGGTTAAGGTAGCGGTTACGAGCTTTCGGGTTCGGGGGTTTGGGTTGTGGGGCTGCGGGGTTTAGTGTTTTGGGCTTAAGGGCTTTGGGGTTTTAGGGGTTCTACAGGGCTTTTAGGAAAGGTTTCAGAAGGGTTATGCGGGATGTAACGTTTGTCGTAGGGAGCTGCAACATACCGAGATGAGGGTTTCGGAGGCTTAAACAAACAACAACCCTAAACCCTAAACCCTAACCGAAACACTACGGAGCGATGGGTGTTCTGTCACGGGGTTTCTTACACGAAAGCCCCCCCCGTAAGACAACAAGTCCACTACTCTGAAACCCCGAAAGAAGGCCAAGAATCCAAACACAAAATCTATCAAACCCAGACTCCACTTTAGGGTTTAAGGTTTAAGGTGCAGGGCTTTTTTGAACAACCCTGAAGAACCCTCAAAACCCTAAACCCTAAACCGTCACGGCCCCAAAAATCCCAGAGCCCCGGAGGGTCCTTGCTGACGAGGTCCGTACAAGGCACCGCCGGGCGGAGGCTTTGCTCCAACTCCTGGTCGGGGCTTGCTTGAGTTGAAGTTTGATGTTTCAGGGTTTAGGGGTGTAGGGTTTGGGGTTTAGAGTTTAGGGGTTTAGGGGTTTAGGGTTTATGACCTACCTGTCGGGTATCATGGGGAACTAAAGGTTAACCTTTTTTGGTTATATAGGGAGTATATAGGGCCTATACTACCCAAAAAAGGTTAAAGCGCGACGTGGAATAAGCTGCATCCCCAGCGAAAGGCGTGAGACGAGCTAAAGGTTGCCTACTCTAGTACTACGGCTGATGGTATAAATCCTGCATTACCCATAATAAGGAATATACCATAATTCCCACAGTTTAGGGTCCTTAAGGTCATGCAGGATTTACACCATCAACCGTAGGTTGAGTTGCAAGGGCTCGTTTATGGGCTCGGGTTTCATGGCTTTGGGGCAGGCTGCTTTGAAAAAGGCAAATATGTTTAGCCGACTTCAGATTCTAGGTTCCCCAGTACCCCCCTTTAGCCTTCTTTCCGTACCAATCAGTTGTCGTAAGAACAAAATATTAAAAAAAAAAAAAAAAAGAAAGGGAGCACAAGAGTACGACTGGGGCCCCTGGAAGTCTTTCGATGCCGCCGTGTCAGGCGGTGGAGGATATGGCAAGCGACCCCAGCTAGCTCCAGTTTCACCTCAAAGAAATCACGCTCCTCAAGTTGGTTCTGCTTTCTTTCGCAGGTTTCGCAGGTTTTGGCCTCTTTTAGAGCAAACACTTACGGCATTAAGGGGGGGGTGTTGCTCGGAGGATCAGGGGACTTAGTAGATGAGCTCGGAGGCGGCCTGGTTCGGATTAGGAGAAGTTATGCCTCACTTGTAACCCTAGACTAATCCTAGCTACTCAATCCCATGATCCTCAAAACCCTACCTCCTCTTGCAGATCCCTTATACAACCCTTTAAAGAACCCTTTAGCAGCCTCAAATCGCAAAATCCCACGATAGGGCTTGGGGTTGATGCATCCTCCTCCCAAAGCAGTTAGGTTCTTTAGAGGATTGCAGAGAGCCTAACTTTTCCAACCATGGCGCTACATCAAACCCTAAACACTACTTGGAGGACCATGGGACTTAGTAAGTAGGGTTGTAAGTACGTGAATTGGGGCTACAAGCAATTACAACCGTAGTTTCCTTCTTGTAACCGAAATTGCTAAGTCTCACGATCCTTTAAGTAGACCCTAAACCCTAAACCCTTATAGTACCCCTATAGACCCCTTAAAGGGACCCCTAAACCCTGGAGCTACAACAAACCCTAAACACTAACCTCCAAGCCACCTAAAACTTCAACAATCTAACTAAAGCCTTCAGCCTCAACAGTACCATGCCCCAAATCTGGATTTCCTTAAATCGGATGTCCACACTTAAAGAGGCTCATGGGACTTAGTAAGTGGGGTTATAAGTAAGGTAACTACAGTTATAAGTACATATAACCTTGATTCAGGTACTTTTCACCATACTTACTAAGTCCCATGATCCTCCAAGCAGATGAGGACTCTACTATCCAATTTATAAGACTTATGCCAGGGTCCGGTCTACTCAGATTCTCTCGAACTCGACACACTATACCCTGGACCCTACAGTACATCCGAAACCCTGAACCCGGAACCCGAATCCCCACCACCCTTCTATGAAGCCTGAGACAACCCTCTGTAAACAACATGGCAGAACCATTAAAGGAACCCAGCAATCATAAACCGTAGGTTTAGCGTTTAGGGACATCAACAGGCACCGTCTCCAAGCGAGGCCTTCATTGCCAGAGCCATGCGCCGCGAAACATGGAGGTCGGGAACACCGCTGGCTTAGTGTTTGAGGGCCTGAATGAGTGGGGTAAGGGTCTAGGTGTGAGAGATTCAAGGCTGTTTTCAGGGGTTTAGGGTTCAGATGTACGTCCGGATCTATAGAGAAGGCTTTAGGGTTTACAGCTTGAACATTGACCTCGGGTGCCGCGAAGCCTTATGCTGCAGCAATATTCTATCAGCGCTTAGTGCTTTAGCTTTTCGGCTTCAAGGTAATAAACCTTGGGTTTGAAGCATAAGGCAGGTTCGGAGCAGTTGCGAGGCTTACGGCGCATAGGGTTGAGGGAGTGGGTTTAAGGGTTTAGGCTTCGGGGTCTCAAGGCCAAGCGTCTGCCGTTGTATCTGCATCTACTGGAAAGCCCAACTCGGAAAAGGTCCTACTCCCAAAATCAAAGAGAAGACTTCTGGATGAGAGAATGCTGCGTGCATGCAGTGCATGCGGCAAACTTTAAAGGAAAGTCTGTGGGCGTGGAGGCGCACCCCTGAGAGAGATCTTTAGCAGCGGAATGTGCCGAACGCGTGATGAATTCCCCAAGGAGCTTGCCAGGGCTCTTCATAACGCTTTTCCAAGTAAATCTATCAATGAGTGGCTTCACCACGTGCTCAAAGGATCGTAGGACATAGTAACCAACTTGTAAGGTAACTACAGTATCAATGACGTATAGCAGCATAGCCCAAACCAGGGCCCGAATAGTCCCTGATCCTCCAAGTCGGAAGATTATTCTGCTGGCATTTTGCACAGCGCGCCGCATCTGCTTGCCAGTGACCTGCTCAAGTCAGTTTAGGGTTCCTGGTTCTCAAAGGGGAACAGGAGGGACCCTTAAGGGGGACCCCTACCCTATAATGGGCTATATAATGGGTATATAATGGCTATATCAAGGGTATATTACCTAGGGGGCCTTATTAAGGGTCCCTCCTTTTTTTCTTTGAGGTTCAGCCCAAGCTATGAAACTGCTTTCTGTCAGTTGAGGTCTGGCCATGTGTTGGGTTCTTTTGTTGATTTCTGATCTTTGGAGAGATCAGCGGCTTTTAGAAGCTCAGTCCCTCCAAACTCAAGGTCTGTGGCAAGGACCCAAAAAAAAAGTGCCCGTTTAAGGACCGAATAGGATATACAAGGGAGTCATAATGAGGAGCTCGTGAAAGGAAGGCTATCTAGGGTTCAGGCATGGGAAGAACCCCAGGCAAAGACAGGATCCAGAAAGTGCTAACACGAAGAACTCCAAAAGACAATGGATGATTGACAATGTTGCCATCACGGAAAACAGTATGCACGGCAACTTTCAGTGCGAGATCTGCGGTCATTGCTGGGAACCTGCAGAGAAATCCTGATTTGGGAGTTTCCGAAATTTCGGGGTACCTTATTTCGGGGTCCTTATAAAATGATCCTACTATTTTGGGTGCTACATTAAGGTCCCCTATTTTCGGAAATTCCCATTTTTGCAACCACCGGTACAAACCCATGAAGGCGCCACAAGGCTTCCTGTGACCCACGCCGACCTACCTTTTGTACAGAAACCATATAATGTAGGGGCTTTAATAATGAGAATAGGGCTTGGGGGTATATAACGCTAAGGAACCCCAAAAATAGTATTGGTAATGATTTAGGCCCCTATATTATAGAAACCATAATGAGGAACCCCGAAACTGTAGGTCTTTCCAGCTCACAGTTGAGCTTAGCGTTAGTAAAGCCACATCACTCTAGGCAAGCGCCCACTGAGCGTGTGTGATTGCGTATGAGCCCAACAATGCCCTTGCACCCCCCCGTGCTCTATCGGAACCTATCGGAAGAACGCCTCCAACCTATCCTTGTCTTCCTTGGAGAGCGGGGTCAAAGGGAAGTCAATCGCGGCAGGTCGGAAACCTGCTGGGGACGCTTTCCTTAGGGTGGCGGGTGAGGGTTTTTGGTTCGGGGCTTAGGGTCTGAGGTCTCGGGTTTCGTCTCTTGGCCTTCTACATTGAAATGACCATGATGATGATGATGATGACGAGATTGATGGTAGTGGTGGTGATGATCTGGTGGCAGTTGGTTTCTGCCGAACGTGTTGGTGAAGCTGGTCAATATCACCACGGCAGCTGTAGAAGGACCGACCACCACCGATACCGCAGCCAACTTCACCACAACCACGGCTGCTCCCCCGCATCCACATCCTTGCAGCAGCAGCAGCAGCAGTAGCAGCCACAACCTCAGCAATCACTACCACAGGAACCAGAGCAGCCACAACAACAAGCAGCGCTAGGACTTGAGAATGAGACAATTAGTATGTACATGTTGGTCATAATCTTTCAACTTCGTAATAATACGATCCTTACCTGTATTATGTTTCTCTATATTTGGCATTGTTAGCACTTCGGCACAAAATGTGGTAGGAAAATCGCTGTCGGCCCGACATGCCCAACAGGACTCCACTGTCCAGAACCGGCACGCGAACTCCAAAATGCGCGGCATCTTTGGATCTGAAAATTGGAAGCAATGTGGATGGAGGCCGCCGCCGATACAATTGATGCCATCCTGGTTGAAGATCCTTTGCTAGATCGTGCTAACAACGCGAACCGAACGTGCTGAGCACCAGTGCCGTGCAAATTGCAAGTGGATCAAACTCCAGGACGCTGGGTTGGGCAAGCAACGGTTCCGTGCAAACCCCGTTGCTGGATGTTCGAGGTTTGTATGCAGACGGGCAATTCCTGTCACATTTCAGGATGTCCTGAATTGCACGGGCATAAACAGGAAACGTATGCCCCTGCGAACACCTGCTAGTCACCGAGATCGGCTCTCATCTGTGTGGTTCACATGCTCGTTTGCTCCCACCAAAATATGGAACTTTCTGATGCACGGCCCTCGTCAGCCCAGCCGAAGCAGCGCAAAGGAATGACCTATCAAATTTGTCGTGCAACTGTGGTGCTTCTCCGATGGTGAAGCTAAGAGACAGCCTAGCCTGTATTCGTGCAATCTTCAACCGAAGATGCAACATCCAAACCAAACTTCGTGTGCTCAGCATCACACCTGGTTCATCAATCTGCATATTCTCGAACCGAACAGACTTTGGCGCACCGCTCATGTGGTCGGATACAGTAGACGACTTTGTACCGACCAGACACACGACGGATGACGTTGAGGTCGTTGCAAGCGAGAGCTCCCTCTTAGATGTGAGTGGTTGACAAAATTATGGTTCTTTTTTGGGTACCCTAAATAATCAGTGCCGTAATATAATAGGGACCCAAAAACGGACCATAATATTGACAAACACCCATGTGAAAGAACAGCCTTACAAAGTCGATCAGGGTTCTGGTGGGTATTACATGGGGTGGGGTATTATGCAATAGGGAACCCTAAGGAATAACATTGGTACTTCAAGTTCCTATATTACCTGGGTTACGTGGCTTCAGGGTGTGGGGTTTTCAGGTTGAGGGCTCAAGGGCACGGATATGTACGAGAAAGAAACCCTTCAAACACTATCGTGAATAATCTTCTGGATGACAGAAAACCCTAACCCTAAACCCGAAAAGACGCCTTACCTGAATCCAGTGAGTCGACTTACATTTCAAAATAAGCGCTCAGGTACGCCCGTATATGCGACGATCTCTCCGCGTGTTAGGGTTGCAGCACACTCCCCACCGCCTGCCCGCGACACAACCCTGCGTACTTGGAGGATCATGGGACTTAGTAAGTAGGGTTATAAGTACCTTAATTGGGGTTAATAAGAATTTATAACTGCAGTTACCTTACTTATAACCCCAAGTACTAAGTCCCATGACCCTTTAAGTAAGTAACCCAGACCAGAATTGAGGTGTTCACTCCAGAAACCCCGTTGCTAAGCTGTAGTGACCACAAATCACACGAGCTCCTGTACAATCCAGGAACGGACCGGTCGACGAGCCTTTTTGAACCCTTTAAAACCCCACAAACCCTACAATCACCGCGCGAAACACACAACAAGACTAACAAACCCCCGCACCGAGCCCAATACCCCTTAATTAACGAATATACCTTAAATCACTAGTGGCTTAATATGATGCGTTAAGCTATATTCCTTAATCAAGGGGTATTGGGCTCTCTGGGCCTGTTCAACAGAAGCTACAGGAACCCTCTGGGCCGCCCCATGAAAACCTTACGCCTGAATCAAAACCCACAAAGGCCCTGCGAAACCCTGAACCCTAAACCTCACGAACCCCCTCAGAACACTGTCCAATCTGACCCCCTGAACCCTAGGAACCCTCAAAAACACCATGAAATCTGAACCCTCGACATTCTGGGTCCTAAACCTCAAGAACTCTGAAAGACACTATGAAATCCGAACCCTAAACCCTAAACCTTAGGAACCCTAAGCAACGCCACGAAATCTGAACCGTAAACCCGAACCCTTCAGAACCCTCAGAAGCACCATGAAATCCGAAAGCTTATGAAACATAGAAACCCGGGCGCCTCCACCGTCCCTTAGTTAAGGATTATACCTTAAATCAATATAGGATCCCTAGTATGATTCTACACATATTCCCAATTAAGGGATGTTTGTTGGAGCCTCCTAGACCCTAAATGAACCCCATAGATCCCTTATAGGAACCCTTAGAAGAACCCTTATAGATCCCTTTAACCCAGAATTTCGGGCGGATCTAGAAAGTAGATCCCCTCATCTGGGGCCCTATACTACTCAGGGTACTTAATAGGAACGCGCATTAAGGGATCTACTTTTTGGATCCTCACGTTTGTCTGGGTTTGAGGGGATCCTGGGAGTCTCTGGGAACCTGGGCGCCTCCAGCGTCCAAACGGGCCTATTCCTCTGGAGCTCCTCGGCACGAGGGCTCTGTCGTTGATACCGTAGGGGCCTAATTGATTACCAATACTATTTTGTGGGGTTCCTTATTGTGAATACAGTATCATGGGACCCAAAATAAATACCACTACTCTTTTGGGGGGGTCCTGGTTTGAATATAGTATAATGGGACCCAAAACCCTATTCTAATTATTAAGGGCCCCTAAAGTACCTTTCCCTTCCTCGAGCCCCTTTTCGAAGGGCTCCTTTAAAGGGTTCCTTTCAAGAAATCCTGGAAAGGTGTCTAAAAAAAGTTCTACTATAGGGATTTCATCGAGTTTTGTATTGGGGCCTGCAGAGTTTGAACAGGGTTTTGGCCCAGAGACTCCAAAACCCCTTAATTAAGCAATATACTTTAAATTATAGTAGGATCCCTATTATGATTTAGGGAATATTCCTTAATCAAGGGATATTGGAGTCTCTGGGGGTATTCTACCCTCAGCCCTACCTGTAGCCGAAAAGACCTACATTTTTCAGGAACTGTATATAGAAACCATAATAAGGAACCCTAAAAAGGTGGGTCTTTCCGGCTACAGGTAAACCCTAAAACCTGAAACCCTAACTTGCGCTAAGGAACTTGAAGGACGAGCATTGGTACTGGTTCAGGCCGCTACAGTTCTTATTTGAGGACTTCTACGGGCCCTTGAAGGGTTTTGTGATGGCTCCTGTAGGATTTGAGGGTTTAGGGTCGGGGCACCTAGAGAATACTCATCTAGGATACCCAGTAACCTAAGAATAAAAAGGCCTCTCTTTTTGGTATTGGATAACTTTATAAGGAACCTAGGACTACAAAAAGCGAATAAGGGTACTACTGGGCATCCTAGTCATTAAAGTTCTTGTATGGCTTCATGTGGCTTGGGTTTGGGAGTTTCGTGGGTGCTACAAGGCTTCACGAGAGTGTTTTAAAGGGTGTTGTGAAGATGCTTTGGGGGTGTAAGCAAAAAATAAGGCTTTGGGCTAGAAGCAATATACATCAATGTACCCTAAGTCGTAGCAGGATCCTTCGTTCAATTTAAGTAAGGGGGGTATTGGGCTCTCTGGTTCTTCTGCCCTGTGCTTCGGTGTGTGAAACTTAGTGTTCAGGGACCCTACACCCTAAACCCTCAAGGATTTAGGGGTTACCTGAAGTTGGGTTGCTTTTAAAGGGAACTTGAGACTTCTGTAACAGGGATCCTTGTATACTAATACTTGGTTGCTGAGTTCATAAGCCACAAAACGTGGACACTTTCAGTTTTAAAGTGGGTCGTGTTATCCCAAACGTGTAGAGTGTATCCACTCAGCTACTAAGTATAGTGACGGAGCATGCTATAGCTATTTTGGGACTACTAAGAACCTGTCTGAAATTTATCCTCAACCCACTTGAATCTTCCCTAAACCCTAAACCCTGAAGGCTAGCCAAAGCCTGAAAGCATGAAGCCCAAACCCAAAACCTGAAAACCTCTAACTGAACCCGAAACCTCAAAGCCCCAAACAAACTCTAAGCTACTCATGTCTCCAGGTACTTCACTCAACAGTGAAGCTACACATCTGAACTCCTGAAAAAAATCGACAGTTAATGAAAATCAAGAATTGGAGAGCGTCCAGAATCCATCAAAAAGGTTTCCGTACTCAACCTCAAACTACTTACCTGAGCCCTATACCCCCTAAACCCTAAACCCTAAGCCCTATACCCTAAACCTGTACCTCCCCGTGCAACCACCCCTTGCCAACGGCAAGCGCCTCGCAGGCAGGAGAGTGCCGCTGTGAAGCCTGGCGATGGCTCGGGCATCCAGGGTGTACAGGGTTTAGGGTTTAGGGTTTAGGGTTTAGGGTGTGGTGCTTCAGGGGTTCCAGTCATGACTTAATTAGGGAGCTTAGAGTGCAGGGTTTCAGGAACTAGCGCTTTAGGAAGGAAGGGGAAGTAAACCCTAAGCCCTAAACCCTAAACCCTTAAACCCTAAAGTCTAGGAATCAGGCTACCCAGGACCAGGGTCTAGGACTTTGCGCTTTTTTGCATTCGGGGTCAAACCCTACAGACCCCTAAACCCTTAAACTCTTCAAACCCCAAAGAGGCCAGCTGCACCGAAGGAGACCACGGCAACCACCGGGACCCGGAGCCAGATGGGGCCTCAGAAGCTTTGCAGAAGAAGTCAGGGTCGCAGAAACGAAGTCTGAGGAAGACTTGAAGGTTTGGGGTTTAGGGTCGCAGGCACGAAGTCTAAGGAAGACTTAAAGGTTTAGGGTTTAGGGTCACAGAAACGAAGTCTAAGGAAGACTTAAAGGTTTGGCGTTTAGGGCTTAGGGTCACAGACACGAAATCTAAGGAATACTTAAAGGTTCACCGGACTTACTTACTGGGGCTATAATCGGGCTATACGTAAATTTTGCTTATAACCCCAACTCAGGTACTTATAACCTTACGTACTAAGTAAATCTAAAAGAATCCCTGGACCCTGCTGACCTACCCGTTTAAGGACTTGTATAAGGAAAGCATAGAGAGGAGCCCTAAGAAGGTAGGATCTTTAGGGTCCAGGTATACCCCAAGTCCTGTCAAGGGCCTCCATACAATTTACGGTATATTCCTTAATCAGAGCGCTTCTAGGATTTCTTGGGTGTTTTTGTGATGACGATAGAAACCTGCGGCGTAACAGAGTAGAACTTACCAGGAACTTTCTGGGGATGATATTGCAAGTTGCAGTTATGACCTCTACCCTAGCTCACCTGAGAGGGCTTCTTATGGATTTAAAGAGGCTCGGGGCGCATTATACCATAAACAAAACGGAACCACCAAAAAAATATAGTCAATTATTAAGGCCCCTATAATAAACCCCAAGCCCTGAACCCAGGAGACGGTTCCTCCGTATGGGTGCTTGTCAAAATTGGGGTCCCTTTTTGGGTCCCTGTTATAATACGGCACCTACTATCTAAGGTACCCAAAATGGGGCCATAATTTGACAACTACCCATATGACTTCAAGTCCATTCCTTGCGTACTTGGAGCGTCGGTGGACTTAGTAAGTAGGTAACAAGTAGACTTATACGTACCCTAGACGGGATCCTAATTCCGGTTATGGCACTTATAAGTAAGTCTATGTTAAGGACCATGGGACTTAGTAATTGGGGTTATAAGTACGGTCACTACACCTACAATTACTCATAACCCCAATTAAGGTAATTACTTATAACCCTCCTTACTAAGTCCCACGATCCTCCAAGTATCAAAATAACTACTGGCTAAGTCCCCCCGACCCTCCACGTGAGGCGCTCTGGAGTCTCGAAGGTCCGTTCACGAAGTATCTTTCTGAAGGACGGACCCCCAGCTTCTTAAGATAGGGGCCTGAATAGTTATAAAAGGGTTCCCGTTTCAGAGGGGTTCTATAGCGGCTACTATAAGGGATCTATAAGGGTACTGTAATAATAAATTACCTCAATCAAACCCTAAAACCTAAACCCTAACATTACATAGCTTCTACCTCAATCAGCGAGAAAGAGAAAGCTCTCAAGCATCGGCCTGCGTGAGCTTCAGTGAATTGGGGACTTGCATGCAGATGCCAATGACAGGATCCTTACTACAAGGAAGAAAAAGGAACCCTATTCACGTGGCTTTTTGAGAGAGCGGTATCTCTTTGGTTTACTTATCTTATGTCAAAAGACAATGTACTTAAGTACATGAGAAGTTCTAGGAAAGCCATCAAAGAATTCCCACAGCAAACCCTTGCAAACCCTTTAAGAGCCCTGGGCAGACAAGGCTTCGGCTGAAGGAAAAGTTCACGAGGAAGACCGGAATCCAAACGGACCTTGGGCACCCAGAGACTCCAATAGTCCTAAATTCAGGAGTATTCCTTAAATCATACTAGGGATCCTACTATACTTTAAGGAACAATGCAAAACTAAAGGATATTGGAGTCTCTGGGAAGGTTCAAGCAAGGGTTCTTGCCGGGTTCTATAAAGGTCTTGGCGGGGGGTACTTTTGGGTTTCATCCATTTTCACAAGCTTCCCTTATGTTCCTGTCAGGGTTCTATATCAGATGGTAGTTCTTAGACTCGTAAATCTAGAATCTAACATGTGAAAGGGCTTAGGGCTCGGTAAGGGCTCTATACAGAACCTCTTGTACGGGTTCTATGGGATAAGGATGCTATAAAGCTTTCCAAACAGGGTCTGTAAATTCCCTACACGACTTGCATTTGCAAAGCTTATGCGAGGGCTTGATCAGGGTCCTCTAAACCCTAAACCTCGAAGCTCGGAGTTTTGGGTCCCGAGGATTCCAAAGTTCAGCACTGTTCTTTCACGGACATAGACAAGGGCCCGTGCGCGAGTAGCCCGGGTTGAGGCCGAGTGCTGAAGGCCTAAAATATAGGGCGTAGACTGTCGGTTTCCAGCACGACACGACGACAACCCCGCGTCGACGCCGACGACGACCTCGTAAAGCCTGCTACTGAGCTATTGTAGGGGCCATAATAATTCGAATAGGGTTTCGGGGTATATTATACTGTATTTATAACAAGGAGCCCTTAAAATAGTGCTGGTAATTATTTTGGCCCCTATACTACTGCACCCTGCCGCCATGATGAGTAGCAGACCAAGTCAGCTTCATGTCCTCCAACTGATTGCGGCGATATTTCTGCCATCCTGCGATCGGCAGCCACACGACCACGTGCTAACTACTTGAAGGCTCATGGGACTTAGCAAGTAAGGTTATAAGTAGGTTATAATTAGGATAACCCCACTTAGGGGACTTATAACCCCACTTATAACCTATTTACTAAGTCCCATGATGCTTTAAGTAACGCTGTTCATTGCATTCAAGAGCGAGGATCATGGATGTCGAGGAACACATCTTCTGAAAAACCCTAAACCCTGCACCCTAAACCCTAATCCCTAAGCCCTAAACCAAAAAGGCTCGCCTTTACTCGCACAGACTCCTAATTCTGCAACCTTTGACTTGTCCCCCTGCCCACTGGAAAGCATCGTCCGGTCCTTGCAGCGGGGTTCCGCCCTCAATGAGCTCTTTCACTTGGTAGAAGGCGGGGTAAAGCAGGAAGGGATGATGCCTCGGAGACACTCCAAAGATGCCCTTGCATAGGACTATACCTACTTATGACTAGTTCATGGTTGGGATAGGATTGGGCATGTACGTTTTTATTCCTTATTGGGTTTAAGTACCCATAAAAAATGCAAAATATTACCCAACTATGACACAGATGAGTGGATGCCGAACCTAGTGTATATAGCATACATTCCTTAATCAAAGCTATTTTTGAGTGTGTGGTGCTATTGCTGTTGGCATGGCAAAAAACTCTAACCCCCTAAACCAAAGGCCGTAAACACCCAAACCAAAAACCCTAACCCCCTAAACCAACAGCCCCAAATGTGGGGAAACATCACCAGAACAGTCGTGATCTCCGCGCGAGAAATGCTGTCCACATACGAATGCCATGGCTGCTGAGAACGCTCATGTGGGGTAGTTGTCAAAATTATGGCCCCGTTTTGAGTACCCTAAGTAGTAGGTGCCGTATTATAATAACGCCCCAAAAAAGGACCCCAATTTTGACAACCACCCATGTCTCCTCACCCCGTCACCCCAATCATCGTGACAATAGCCTCGCAACCAACAGTGGCGAAAGTCATGAAAGTAATGGTACTGAAGCACCAGCCACAATGCGAATCCGTTAACACTGATGATAATGATGACAAGAGCAAAAGGCATGGCAGCAGGGTTTTCTCTGCAGAGCAGGTAGCCTAAGAACCGTGAAACAAGCAATATTCCTTGGATTGTACAAAGCTCCGTAGTATGGTTTAAGGCTTAGGGCATATTGTCTTATTAAGGGGTATTGGGCTCCAAAAATGCTTGAAACCCAATAGAACCCGCCCAGCACAAAACCCGACAACAGCTGAGCACACGACACAAACTGATCAAAGAAGACCTGCAAGCGTGAGGCAAGCTGTCTCTGAGTGCTCTCTCCAGGATACATACGAGGCATGTCCATCATCTGCTATTAGGGCTTAGGGTATCGGGTTAGGATTTAGGAGTGCATGTCTGTCGAACTCTCATGGTTGGTCGTAAACTTCTCTGAGGGAAGGATTAAACTTGTACATTTATATTCCGTATTGGGTTTAAGTACCCGTAAAAACGTAAAATGTTACCCAACTATGACAAAGTATAAGGAGAGCAGCAAACCAGGGTCGGGTGCTTCGGAACTTAGGGCTTAAAGATTTCAGGGCTCTAAGGGTTTAGGCAAGTTTAGGGCGTGGGGGCGAGGATTTAGTGCTCAGGGTGTTAGGGTTTGGGGTTTAGGGTTTTAGGGCTCTGGTAAGGGTTTAGGGTTTTGGGGCTTGGGGTTTTAGGGTTGAGGATCTAGGGTTGAGGGTCCTAGCGGTTTAGGACTTGAGGTTGTAGGGCTTTGGTGACAGTTTCAGGGGCCAGGCTGTTCGGAATAAGGCTGAACGCTCTCATGGGAGCTCTGGCATCAAATTGAGCAACGGGGTGCTGCAGTCTAAACCCCGAGCTCCTGACTCCAAGCTGAGCCCTAACCCCTAAACCCTACACCCAAACCCTAAACCCAAAACCCTAAACCCCCAAAACCCGAAACCCCCAAGCGACAAAAGAGCAGTCTTCTTCATGTGTACGTGAGGCCCAGAAATTTCGCTGTGGAAAGCCTGAGCACTCGGTACTCAAAGGATCATGGGACTTAGTATTTGGGGTGTAAGGGTCCCTTTAAGGGATCTATAGGGATACTATAAGGGTTTAGGGTTTTGCTAGGTTAGGGTCTACTTGAAGGATCATGGGACTTAGTAATTGGGGTTATAAGTACGGTAACTAAAGTTATAGTTACATATAACCTTAATTAAGCTACTTATAACCCTACTTACTAAGTCCCATGATCCTCCAAGTAGATTGCGTTCCTAGCCTTTTCCATGCTTACTGCAATTGGCATCTCGACGATGCCATCAAAACAGGATACCACTTGAACCCTAAACCAAAAACCCTCAACCCCTAAACCCCTGTCCTAAACCCTAAACCCTGAACCCTAAAGCCTAAACCCTAAACCCCTAAACCCTTGTCCTAAACCCTACACCCTTAAACCCCAAACCCTCTGAACCTGGTCATTGCCCCAGGCATGAAGACACCATGGTGTGCTTCCCTAAACCTTAAACCCTGGACCCGATGATGACCATTGCGAACAAGTCGAGTTCCCGAACGTACTGGACTGGAACGCATGGCATGTTAGGAATTTCGGAAATTTAGGTTTCATCGGCATCTCTGCTTTTGTGTTCCGACCTGGGCCAGGACGTTCCGCTGGCCCGCGCCGTCCGCGAGTTTCGCTCGCCAGGGCTTGGCCGCAAAGGCCTCTGCCATCGGAAACCTGAACCGGAGGTTACTTCAAGGATCATGGGGCTATAGGGTTCCTTTAAAGGGTTTCTTATCACAGGGTCTACAAGGGGCACTTTAAGGGTTACTATAAGGGTTTAGTGTATAAGGTTTAATGTAGGAACCTGATTAAGAAACCCTGGGCCTACAACCCCAAAATAGTAGGATTCACATATAAGGAACCCTAATAAAGGCCCAAGGTTTCTTAATCAGGTTCCTACATTAGTTGGAGGTTATGATGGGATACCAAAAGGGGAGGTTAAGATTCTTGGGGTAGGGATTCCTTAATATGAACCCTCTTATGGGAACCCTAATCCCCACTAAACTCCCATAGGCTAAGACTCCTTTTGGCCTCCTACGAGGTTAGTTGGCTTTCTGCTCTGGCGTAATATTCGTCGCTACGATGTAACTTTGGCGTTCCCTTTTTCAGACGTTCTCCGATTACTCCTCTGGCGTACGGCTTACGCTTTGCGCTGACGGCTTCAAGAATTGAAGGGAATGAGGATTGCTCAAGTAAAAGACTGTATCAAAAGTCATTCCAAGCGTCGCGCTTCCACCCACCTACACTTAGGCGAGCTCACAAACGAAACAGAACAAGTTGAAACTTGCGGTGCTGCAGGGACCTTAGCAGTTGGAATAGGGTTTTAGGGGTTCCTTTTTATAGTTCTAGGATAACATATCCCAAAACCCTACTAGTCCAATAATTAAGGCCCCTACAGTATCCACAGGACTTCCTGTAGGTTGCAGGCTTTAGAACTCAGCTACGAAGCACACTCCCACATCTTAGGTACGGCCTCCATACAGTAAGAGTCTATAATAGGGGTACTATTAAGGTCCTACTATATTTATATTATGAATATTATGAATATTAACCCACATCCTAAACTCTGCCTGGTACGACTCCCCGCTGAACGAACAGAATGAGACTAGTCTTCAAGAGTAGGCATAGAGCGCTCATGAAAGCCGTGCAAAACCGGTGTAGAAGGCTTCAAAACCTTTTAGGAACCGCTGTAGAACCGTGTTGCAACTTATGAAAAATATTATGATAAAACCGTTTGAAAGTATTTCTGAATTCAACCAAAGCACCAGCGTCTTGCAAATAGATGCACGTAGATGAAGTACTGCACACCTCCGAGGTACCTGGGCACTTGCTCAGGTGCATAATCCTGGTCGTACACAGCTTTTCCGAGTTTTTAGACGGTTTTGTGATGGCTTTACAAAGGATTTATGGCTTCAGCAATGTTGAGTGTTCGGGGCTCCTGAGCATTAGAGCACGTTATAACAGGATCCCCATGCTTAGGGTCTACGTCGGGGTCGCCTGTTTTCTGTTCCGACACCAGTACAGTAGAAGCCAAAAACTTGGAAACCCAATAGCCTCGATCCTTAAGAGTAATGTATAGGGAATCCCAGCACTATTTGGCCTTAATCGGTTTCCAACTTTATGGGGTTCACTGTACAAGTTTCGGAGCTAGGGTCAAGGATTTAGTTGGGTGCAAAAAACCAGGCAATATGCCCGGAGGCCGGAGAGCCCAATAACCCCCTGAATTGAGAAATACCCTTTGAATTCTCAATGGATCCAGTCTATGGAATTTTGGGCTATGTAGGGCTTGGACCACCAAGTGTTCTCTCGCTGGTTGGGGTCTACACTGGCATAATAGGGCTCTCGGGCTTCAGGCAAGACTTGGGTTTCAAGAACGTACATATGCTTTGGGCCTTAGGACCAGTAGAGCGATCCGGCTTTGGCCAGAAGCTGCAAGCCCAAACTCCGGAAACCCCAACCCAGAGACTCCAATATCCCTTAATTAAGGAATATTCCGTAAGTCATACGCGTATATTCCTCAATTAAGGGATCTTGGAGTCTCTGGGGACTTTCCGGCTTTCATTCGATTGTTTATGTTGGGCTTTCAAGTTTTCGGGTTTAGGCGTTCGAGTTTAAGGCTTAAGGCTTAGGGGTCTAGGAAACCAGGATCCGAACCACTTCAAAACTTAGGGCCTTCGATCCGCATCCCAATTTCTGAAGGTCCTCGGCTAGGGCGAACCCAAAATAGTAGGTTTCATATTGAATATAAGGAACCCTAATAAAGGCCCAAGGTTTCTTATTTTAGGGTTCCTATATTAGGGCCGGCGCATGAGCCCCCAGGTAAAGAAGATGAAGTTCCGCCGCCAGTCCACCTCAGCCGAACCAGGTTTCGGGCTTGTGATTGAAAGCTCGGAAAAAACATGCGGAAGGTTGTTCCATGCCTTTAGAGGCTCCAGGGCTTCAGGGTTGAGCCACCCTTGTCCTTTTAGAAGTAATAGACAGAGCCCTATACCTATATCCCTTAGTAGGAACTATTTAAGAAGGTCTACTAGCCGGTTGAGCTCCTAACCCCGAACCCCAAGCCCACCCTGAACCCCAAACCCCCCACATTCCAATTCCCAAACCCTAAACCCTAAACCCTAAACCCTAAACCCTAAACCCTAAACCCTAAAGTCCAACCCCTGCAGGTCCCCCACTCGCACCTCCTCCCGTCTCTCGACAACTTTCTGGGCCATGAGGTCTGACGCGCTGGTCCTTCGAGGTGCGGGGCTTCAGGAATGGGCTATTGAAGGGTAGGAAGACATAAATAGGGTTTGGGATATAAGGTTTCGGGATTGTATCGAATCTTAGGCCTTAGGGTTTGGGGGTTTAGGGGTTTAGGGGTTTAGGGCTTAAAGTTTGGGGGTTTAGGTGTGATTCCCGCTGAGGTCAATCCATTGCCGAAGCTGCTGTTCACGATGTCTTACTCCTCTTTTCCGGCCACGAAGGCTCAGGGGGTTAGGTAGGCCCAACTGTACAATCACATCACTGAAACCAGTGATCGCCTGCCGGGGATTGTGAGCCATAGCGGACGCTGCCAAAGAAGCCCGGGAGCTGTTGGCGCGTGTCAACCAGGGGTTGTTATCTACATCGCCAGGGGCGACTTCACATCCATTCTTTCAGATTCTTTCACGGCTACTAAACTGGTAGCGCGAGCCGGGGTGCTCCAGAGGAGTTGAGATCCGGGGATCTTTGTTCGTCTTTGCATTTTGCAAGGATGGAGACATCAGAGCAAGAAGGGAAGTCCAATGCTGTTTGGAGTTTGCTACCGTCCTTTGATCCTGCGACAGACAACATCAAGGAATACGTCGACAAGGTGCGTTTCTTGAAAGAGATTTGTCCTGGAAAGGATCGAGGCATGCTGGCCCCTCGGCTTGCCATGCTCTGCAAGGGAACAGCGTGGGCCCAAGTCAAGAATCTGGACCCAAAGCAGCTCACCGATCCCGAGAAAGGAGTGGACGCTTTGTTGAAAGCACTCTCAACTTGGGAGGAATCTGCTGAGCTGAAGACATATGAGAAGGTGGAACTCGCCTTGTACAAGACCACACAGAGGTCAGATGAGAGCACGATGTCCTACGTCAATCGGCTGAGCGTGGCCTTTGACGAGATCTCCAAGATGACCATGGGGGAAATCAAGGCTTTTGTTCTGCTTCGTCAGAGCCAGCTTCAGGCTGAAGATAAACGCAAAGTCATTACGATGACCAATGGAATCTTAGATGCAGCAAAGATAGAGCAAGCCATGCGATCACTCAACACCTCCATCATTTCCGGTGCTGAGAGCAAGAAGAAGATCTATCCGGTGACCTTTGCACAGCAGGAAGAGACGGAGCCGGCTCAAGGTACTGAGGAGGCCTTCGTTTCCACAGAGGCCGAGGAAACCTTGGTCTTCGACGCCTTCCTGAGCGAGGGTGATGAGGACGCTCTGCTGGTTCAACAGTACGAAGATGCTCTGATTGAAACGCTGCAGGGTGATGCTGAGGTATCTGCTTGCCTCAACACATACCTCGAAGCCCGCAGGCGGCTTTCTGAGAAGGCCCGTGTCAGGGGCTTCTGGCCCAAGGGACGCGGCAAGGGCAAGAAAGGCTTCGGAGGCAAGGGTCGAAAGCCCTTGGCCCAACGCATCTTGGAGTCCGAGTGCCGTCGATGCGGCAAAAAGGGTCATTGGAAGGCAGAGTGCCCCTTGAGATTCCAAAGCAGTTCATCGACCCCGGGACCCGCAGCATCTGCCAATCTGGCCACCGCCGCGCCAGACAGCAACGCATGGGAGGATGTGTTGTTCGAGATGCCCACTGATGTGACGTCGTTGCAGGCCCACTCCAGCACCATGCATGTCTTTTGCGCGGAGGGGTCGGTTTCGGATTTCAGTTCTGGTTTTCGAGGGGTGCCTGCAGCTTTTTCGAAGAAGGTTCAAGCACTCGGAAAGATCCCTGCCAGGAGCCAAGGACCTGAGCAGGTGAGCAACCCCCTGAGCCCAGTGAAGTCCGTAGTTCTCCAGCCTGAGTTAGATCAGGCTTTCTTCGTCAGTCATGGATCTCTGGGAGTCGTCGACTCGGGAGCGTCGCAGAATGTCATGGGTGCTACTCAGCTTTCGGAGTTCTTAGCTGAGATCCCTTCTGAGGTTCGTAGCGAGGTTAAGGAAGGTCCCTGCAACATCACGTTTAAGTTCGGCAACAGCTCGACGTCCACTTGCCAGAGAGCCATTTACGTCCCTCTCGGGCCTGCGTGGGTAAGAATAGCCATTGTAGAAGGCCCGACGCCGTTCTTATTGTCAAACAGCTTCCTGAGGTCCTTGGGGGCTGTAGTGGATTCAGAATCAGGGCTGATATTCTTTCGGAAGCTGCAGTGTGTCGTGCCCACCACGCTGTCCGAACGCAAGCTCTCGCTGCTTGATTTTAATCAGTTGCTCCAGGCCTCCCGCTCGCCTAGAGCATTAGACTCGCACATGTCACGTCAGGTGCAAAACTTTTGCCAGAACCTTGTGCAAACCTGTGCTTTTGCTGGCTATGTGAGTGCTCCTGAGGAAGGCAAGGCTCCCGAACCACGTACTCTCCCGAGCCGGGCCCAAGCCGACTCAGCACCTTCCTTTGACACATCCCGTGCTGATTCTTGCGTGAAGCCCGATGTCCGAGACCAGCGCCAGCAGCATGAC